TATTTAAGATACATGATTCTAACTCTTTAGGGAATAAACTGGATTAAACAAATGTATTTTTTCTTTCCAATTTATAATTTTTTAATTATAAAAACAATATATGCTCAGTATAAATTTATGGAACATCCAGAAAAGTTTAAAAGTTTAAAAAAACCTATAATTCAATTACCTAAAGGTAGTGAATTTAGACATTTTGTTCTAGTTTCTTGCAGTTTATTTTCCTGTAAGAGTGATTTAGTCTAAAGAGAAAATTTTAGGGATGCCTGGGCGGCTCAGTGGGTTAAGCCTCTGCCTTCGGCTCAGGGTCCTGGGATCAAACCCTGCATTGAGCCCCACATTGGGCTCTCTGCTCAGCAGGGAGCCTGCTTCCCCCTCTCTCTCTGCCTGCCTCTCTGCCTACTTGTGATATCTCTCTTTTTGTGTCAAATAAATAAATAAAATCTTAAAAAAAGAGAGAAAATTTTAATGTTTTAAACATCTATAAAAAAATCAACAATCTAGTTTTTTACTATATTAAATTTAAAAATGATCATGGGCAGATGAAATAGCATGAGGGGCTAAATCATCAAACATGGGCTAAAATCCAGACTTTGTCACATACTAGTTATATTATCTGATTATAAATCTCATTTAGCTTCAATTTTCACATTGCAAAATCTGGATAATGCCAGCTGCCTTATGTTTTTACCACCAGGATTAAGATGTATGAAAATAGCATACATTGAGATTAATGAAAATGCATATTAGTTAGCTTCCAAGAGTACTCAGAACTTTTTATGTAAAATTAATTTCTAAAAATGAGAGGTGGGCAAGTGGCAAAATTAAAAAAAAAAGGAACAAGAGAAAACAAAGGCATATAAGGCTTGAAAATCTGAGGCCGAGGGGGCTTCAGCATTTCTTTCTTTCTTTCTTTTTTTTTTTTTTTTAAGATTTTATTTATTTATTTGACAGAGAGAGAAAGAGAGAGATCACAAGTAGGCAGAGAGGCAGAGAGAGAGGCAGGCAGAGAGAAAAAGGGAAGCAGGCTCCCCGCTGAGCAGCCAGCCAGACAACAGCAAGCAAGCGACTCAATCCCAGGACCCTGAGACCACGACCTGAGCCGAAGGCAGAGGCTTAACACACTGAGCCACCCAGGTGCCCCAGCTTCAGCATTTCTGAAATATCATGAAGCACTTTATATTACTCCTGATATTAAACACTGTCCTTTTAAAAAGTTAAAAAAATTTAAATTCTTTAAAAATATTTACAGGTATAAATAACTAAACCTTTAATTATTATTATTTTTTAAAGATTTTTAAAATTCATTTGACAGACTGAGATCACAAATAGGCAGAGAAGCAGGCAGAGAGAGGAGGAAGCAGACTCCCTGCTGAGCAGAAAGCCTATGTGAGGCTCAATCCCAGGACCCTGGGATCATGACCTGAGCTGAAGGCAGAGGCTTTAACCCACTGAGCCACCCAGGCGCCCTAAACCTTTAATTATTAAAAGATGTAGCTTCTTGTGGCACCTGGGTGGCTCAGTGGGTTAAGCTTCTGCCTTTGGCTCAGGTCATAATCTCAGGGTCCTCATCAGGCTCTCTGCTCAGCAGGGAGCCTGCTGGCCCCATCCCCCCCAGCCCATCCCCGCCCCACCACCCACCACCTCTCTGCCTACTTGTGATCCCTATCTGTCAAATGAATAAATAAAATCTTTTTTAAAAAATGTAGCTTCTAGCAAGCAAATTTAGTAAATACATAGATTTCAACAGAAAGAGTAGGCAAAGTTTCTTCTGATTATAAATTATTCTTTCCATTGTTTATAATAAATACATACCCTAAAAAAATTACATATCCTTCTATTTAAGCTTGGGTGATAAGTTTTACCAATACAAGTTTTAATAAACTAGTATAAGGTGACTCTAGACTTAAAATGCTTTTGTGTCCTGATGTTTTTTACTAAATTCTAAGTTTTATGGCAAAACTTATGATATGGAGGAACAGTATGGTAGACTACCTTGAATCTGAAGGTAAAAGATCTGAGCTCCATCTCTCATTTTGACATTTGGTAGGAATGTGACTTTGGACAAACTATAATCTGAGTTGGTCTCTTCATCAATAAAAGTGTGATTATATCTGTCTTGCTATGTAAGGATCCACTATCCAGGTGACAACATAATCAAATACTGTCGCTGTCTCTAGCCACAAGAACTGGATAGCTGGGCAAAGAACTTTTATTGTATTGTCTTTTATAACTTAGTAAGTTTACACATATTCAAGTATTATTTACTCCAAAAATAAATTAAATAGGCTGGTAAGTTTCAGGACATCTTCAGAGATACACAGATCTTCAGATTTCTAAATTGCCTTTGATATTATTTTCTTCAATACTCCGTTCTCATTTATTTTTGAGAGCGAGGGAGAGAGAACACACACGTGTCAGAGAGATGGGGGTTGAGGGTCAGAGGGAGAGAGAGAATCTTAAGTAGGCTCCATGCCCAGAGCAGAGGCCACTTGGGGCTCAAATTTCAAGACCTGAGATGAAATCAAGAGTTAGATGCTTAACTGACTGAGCCACCCAGATGTCCCTCTCTTCAGTTATTTTAACATTCTCTTCCAGCCTTATCTTTCACATAATTGGTGATTTTTACATCAAGTACATATTTTGTTGAAAATGCATTTTTTTAAACTCCTTCCATAACACAATACTGGTATGTTTCTTAGATAAACTGAGTCTCTAAGAGTACATAATATAGCTAATACTCATCACCATCAGCAGAATTGTAATATATTCATGTTTTCTCATCGTATTGCTCTTGAGAACATTATTTGTGAGTGTAAGGACACTATAAATGGTCACAACAGAGCAAAGCTAACTAATTTCACAGCAGTTTAAACTGTGATCTTGGTGTCATTTTCAGGGAGTTCATTCAGCTACCTACTCCTATGAGACACCCACTGTTAATGATAAATAAATCCCTTTAGAAAATTTTGACAGCCACAACAGACTTTTTTAAAGGCTACATTATCCTAAATAACCACAGTATCTTGCTAACATTTAAATTACTTGCATTTCATTACCACACTATCTTGTACATGTTGTTTGAATGTCTGTTTCCATCAAGACCATGAACTCACGGACATTAAAATTTGTCGGCATTTGACTGAAAGAGAAATGTAATACCAGCAAAAGTAAGAGTATATCTTTTAATACTTGAAAACTTTTACAGGATAATGATTTAAACAAAAACAAAGTCTATTTTAAATAAAAGCACTAACTACCCACCCAAGGTACCCTGTTAATAACACCAGACATTAGTAACAATTAGTTTTATACATCCACTAGTATCTTCTATACACTATAACAATCCATGGAAGCAGGTATCTCCATTTTAGAAATAAGAAATCTGACATTCAGAAAAAGTAAAGCATATTCAAGGTCATACAATGAGTAACTGCCAGCAAAGATTAAAACCTGGGGCTGTTTGACTCTAAGGCCTAAGCTCTTTCCATACATGTGAAATCTGTAAAGGAAATTTTTCTTTAACCTATGGATCAAATGGCTTGATTGCTAAGGCAGAGTTGAGGGAGAGAAATATAGATACCATTCATAGTTTAATTATTTTTTAAAAAACATTTTATTTATTTATTTGAGAGAGAGAGAGAGAGAGAGAGAGCGAGAGCACATGAGACTCGGGAGGGTCAAAGGGAGAAGAGGACTCCTTGCTGAGCTGGGAGCGAGATGTGGGACTAGATCCTGGGACTCCAGGATCTTGACCGGAGCTGAAGGCAGTCACTTAACCACCTGAGCCACCCAGCCATTCATTCATGTGGCCATGAATGGCCACAAAGCCATTCATAGTTTTAAAGTCACATAGTGTTATAGATGTCATAGTTAGGGCATTTTATACCTATAACTCTTGTTCCAATTTTTTTTGTGCTGAGCTCTGAATAGTACTGCCCTAAAATCTCATCAAGATATATTCAATATAGAGACAAATATTATCAGAGTTCAACTTCAATCCCATAGTCTATCCAGTGATATTTACTTGGATAAAAAAAATTACAAATCTATCTAAAAATTAATGAATGATTAAAAATAAAATTAACTAAATAAAATTAAGTCACTCAGAAAGAATCATCTCAGGTGTCTTTTGCTGTTGTGGGAAATCCTCAATAGTTTGGCTATTTTTCCACAAATTCCAAGTTCATTTTCAGCCAACCATTTTTCTTCTTCATTAACATACCAAACTTGAGTATCTAGGAAGCCTATGTGGAACCCTAGTACTCGAAACAACATTCACAGCATGCCAAGACAGGAAGAACAATAGCACCGTTTGTGTAACTGTGCAACTTTTCACAATGGAACCAGGTTGAAAAACAATGGGGAAATGTCTACACCAGAAAAACGTCTCCCTTAGTTCATAAATTAGTGTCTGATGCAGACTAGAAGGTGGGTACCACAAAAATATGTAACTGTGAGGGTATTCATCAGACCCGTCTACCAACATGGGAGAACACAGGGACACAATCAAATCATGAACTTAATAGCCAAGACCTTGGTTCAGATTGTAAGGCGCGAACTAAGTATTCAACAATATTCTTTAGTTCTGGCTCTTCCTTTAGCTCTAAATACGCAGTTCAGAGAATTTTAGGTGGGGTGTGAAGGGGGAAACCCAAGTTACTTTCTTCTTAAGGCATATATGTAGAGAGGTTCCCCCCCCCCATAAGCATTAATGTGCAGGCCATACCTCTTGGAACTGAGAATTGAGATGAAAATCTTCCCTCCTTTATCTCTATAGAAACGACAAGGTGAGGACACGAAGGATGCCAAGATTAAAGGTTTGGGAAGGGTCTCGGTCTCCTTGACAGAAGATGCTCAAAGACCTCATTCTCTAACTGGGCCCCAAGGAGGAGCTGGACACGTTCAGCTGCACGGATTTGGTTTCATGTTAGGAGAGGCTGGAAGGCGACAGCCGATCCCAGTCGGCAAAGCCAGGCAGCAACCACCCTTCCCCCACTCACCTCTCAGACCTCAGCTTAACTGGGGCGGTCCGAGAAACTGCCGCCATCACCATCGCCATCCCTCTTGAGTGCTCGCTAAGGTGGAGAAGGGAGGCCCAGCCACTTCTGCACCTCGTGTAGGTCCTAAAAGGCCGATGCCTTTGTGCAAGCCCCCACCCGTCGGCGCTGAGTTCCTGTCTCACACATTGCGGTCACCGCCTCCACCTACTCCCAAGGCGCTGCCATCACTTCCGTGTTCGGCACCCTCCCTTTCTTCCTCACTCCCCTAGCAACCGGCTTTTTCCTTTACAGGCGGCGCGCCGCTGACGCCACCACCCGGCGACTTCGGTCCCGCCCGGCGCTGGGCGTGAGCGAGCGGGCGCAGACGCAGTGTAGCGAGTTCGCCAGAGCGCGGGAAGCGGCGCTCGGTTGGCTCTTGCAACGCGTTTTTCATTAGTGGAGGAGGTCGGTCCCTTTGGTGAGTACTCGTTCCCCCCGCCGGTGCCCCTGTCGCGCACCGAAGGGAAGCGTGTCCTTTTCCCGGCTTATTGTCTGGCAAACCCTCTGCTATATCTTGTTTGTGCCACCAGGGTGGGGGAAAAGGGGCCGCCGGAGACTAACTTCCCTTCCCCATCAGCCACCGTCTTTCCTCACCTTTAAAATAATATCAGCTTTTATAAAACATTTTTAGGTAGGTAGAAGAAAAGATGCCTGCCACACAGAAGCCGATGAGATTTGGACATACAGAGGGACACACAGATGTCTGTTTTGATGATTTGGGGAGGTAAGGTGCTTGGAAAAACAAAAACATTTTTTCTCGTGTAAGTATTAGCACTTTTGTTGTTTTAAGGTAGATAAGTAGTCAACCTAAAATGACTCACCCAGGTAGAGAGAAATAAGGCTGAAATCTAAAATGGCACATATATTTCCCTTAGATTTATTGTTCATTCGGACCGACATGGTAGTTACTAGTATCTCGGAAAAGCGAGTGTGAAATCAGATTTCCAGACGAGTTGGAAAGACGTGACCTTTCCCCCGTATTTTCCTTTTGTTGCCTTCCTCTCTGCGTCCCACATTATTTTTTTTTTTCCACATTATTTTTTTGTCAGATCACCTACTTGTCAAATTCAGTGGCCTGTTCTATCTTTTTGGTATTATATCTTTCCGTGGCTTTTGTGATGCTATTTCATTTTTTCATTGTTGTTTTTAACCTTTTTATGGCTTTTTAAAAAATTAATTTATTTTTTAAATTAACATATAATGTATTTTTAGCTCTCAGAGGTCGTGGTTGGTGATTCATCAGTCTTTTTTTTTTTTAAGATTTTATTTGTTCATTTGACAGAGAGGGAATACAAGCTGGGGAAGTGGGAGAGGGAGAAGCAGGCTTCCTGCTCAGCAGAGAGCCTGATGCCAGACTCCATCCCAGGACCCTGGGATCATGACCTGTACCAAAGGCAGACGCTTAACCACTGAGCCACCCATATAAGCCACCACTTATATAATATCCAGTGCTCATGATATCAGGTACCCTTCTTAATGTCCATCACTCAGTTACCCTATACCCCCTTTTGATAGCTTTTTTTCCAACTTATTTCCTCTGCTTGATTGCTAAATTGTGATATTTTCCCAAAACCCCGGTCTCTTTTACCTTTTTAAGTTTCATTCCCCTGCAGTACTGTCCAGTTGTGTGGCTTCCACTGTCACTCCTGTGTTGATTCTTTCACTGAAAAAAATACTTGGGTGTCAAGTCTGGTGGAGGCTAGAGGTACAGTAGTACAAAGCACAATCTATTCCTTAATTGACTTTAAAGTCTTTTTAAATTGACCTACATTGAGCACAAATTAATCACAAAAGCAAATGTATGTTTAGAAATAAGTGATAGGTGCAATGATAAGTATATTTGAAGGGAAGTTGATACAGCTTGAGGAAGCAGGGAAGGTTTCTCTGAGGGGTTGTTTCTTGAGATGAGATCTGAAGATTGAGTAGACGTTAGGGAGTAAAAAGAGATGGGGTGGTGATGGCAGTGAGGTGGTAGTGGTGGCATTCCAGACAGAGGGAACACTGCAAAATTCCAGTGGGGGTAGGGACCATGCTCAAAGGACTGAAAGAAAGCTAGGGATGCCAAAATGTAGAGTGTGATACGGGGGCTGATGAGAGATGAATCTGTGAAGGTAGGTAGTGGTTATCCTAACCAGGACCTTATGTACTTTATTAAAGAATCTTTTTTTTTTAATTCTAAAAGCAGTAGGAATGTATTAAAAATTTGAAGCAGAGAGATGAGACCAGACTCTTTCTTGTTTTTGAGAAGTTTCGTGGAGGATGAATTGGAGGAGTAGAAGTAGATGCAGAAAGACTGGGATCTGTATTACTCTGGTAGAGTATGATGGAAGCTTAGAGAAGATGTGTATGGAAAAAAGGATACATTCAGGAAATACTTAAAAGGTAGAATCAATAGGGTGGATCAGACATTAAAGATGAAGGAGAGGGAGATGTATGGGATAATATCTATGTTTCTGGTTGTAACATTTGGAGAAATGATAGTGCCATTCACAGATATCTGAAATGCTTGGAGAGGAGCTTATTTCAGAGGTAGAATGAGAGTGGAGATTAGGAGTTTACATTTGGACATTTAGAATATTTCTTTGAGATCAATTAGAGACGTAGACAGTTGGATAAAATGGATTGAAAGCTAAGAGAAGTAATAAATGTAAGCTAGAAACAGAAATCTATATATATATTTTTTTAAATATTTATTTATTTATTATTAGAGAGAGTGTGAGAGAGAGATCACAAGCAGGCAGAGTGGCAGGCACAAAGAGAGGGAGAAGCAGACTCCCCACTGAACAGGGAGCCTGATGGACTTAATCCTAGGACCCTGGGATCATGACCTGAGCTGAAGGCAGACTCTTAACCGACTGAGCCACCTTGGCACCCTAGAAATTTCTATCTTTTGCTGATGTTTCCTGGAGATCAGGATTGAGGTCCAGGCTGGAAATCTACATGTGGAAGTTGTCAATAAGTAGATATTTAATGCTATGAACTTAGATGAAATCACCTAGGGATAGAGTAAATGTAAAGGAAAAAGGTTCAAGGGCTAAGCCCTGGGACGCTCCAAAACATTTAGAGATCAAGTTGGAGAGGAAGATCCAGCTAAGGAGACTAAGAAAAGGTGACTGGAAAAGCAGAAAATCAAGAGACAAGAATGATGTCTAGAAGGCAAATGAAATATAAGCTTTTTAAAAAAAAAAAATTATTTATTTATTTGACAGAGATCACAAGTGGGCAGAGAGGCAGGGAGAGAGGGGGAAGCAGGCTCCATGCTGAGCAGAGATCCCGATGTGGGACTCAATCCCAGGACCCTGAGATCATGACCCAAGCCGAAGGCAGAGGCTTAGCCCACTGAGCCACCCAGGTGCCCTGAAGTATAAGCATTTTAAGGAGAAGGAAATAATAAAGTGGGACGCCTGGGTGATTCAGTCGTTAAACTTCTGCCTTTGGCTCAGGTCATGATCCTAGGGTCCTGGGATGGAGCCCCGTATTAGGCTCCTTGCTCTGGTGGAAGCCTGCTTCTCCTTCTCACACTCCCCCTGCTTATATTCCCTCTCTTCTTGTGTCTCTCTCTGTCAAATAAATAAATAAATCCTTTTAAAAAAAAGGGAGAGAAGTAATAAACTATGTCAGATGGTGTTAGGTCAAGTTGAGGACTGAGAATCCAACATTAGATTTAGTGATATGGAGGCATTGGATGATCTTGAGCTTTTTTAATGGAGTGGTAAGAATGAAAATCTTGTCGCAGTAGATTTAAGAAAATGGAAAGGAAGGAACTGGAGTTAGTAAGGATGACACATAAAGAGCAAGGGTAGTTGGATAGGAATTTGAGGTCAGGAAATGTCTTTGTTTTAAGGTGAGAGATACAGTAAGTGTATGAGTGGGGATGATCTGACAGAGAGGGATAAGTTGATGTTAGAATAGAAAGAAGGAGAATTGCTGGAGTCTTCAGTAGGTAAGAGGGGCTAGTACATAAGGGGGAGACAGTGGCCAAAGGTAAGAGCATGGTCAAATTCACAAGTGGAAGGAAGGAGCACCTAAATGGGATGGGGAGAACATGCAGCCAATTTCTGTAGACTGCTTCTGTTTTCTGAGTAAAATAAGAAGCAAAGTTAAGAGTAGGAGGCAGTAAAGGTTTGAAGAAAGAGAAGTATATATGAGATAGATGTTCATAAGAGAGGGAAAGCTGAAAGGCCTAGGGAAATGTTAGGTGGAATACTGGGCAGCACTAAGCCTACTTTAGATTAGTGATCACAAATTTAAAGTGAGACCAGACAACCCAGTTATGTGTTTTTCTCTAGCTGTGTTTAGCTCTGCAAGTGCAAACTTTTTTTTTTTTTTTTAAGATTTTATTTACTTGTTTAAGGAAGAGAGAGAGAGCACACTGGCAGGGTAAGGGGAGAGGGAGAGGGAGAAGCAGGCTCCCTCCCATCGAGTGGGGCTCGATCCCAGGACCTCAGGATCATGACTTGAGCCAAGGGCACAGACTTAATCAACTGAGCCACCCAGGCGCTTCAAGTGCAAATTTATTAATAGGCATAGATAGGGATTTTGCCAGGTAAGTATGACACAGTGAAGAAGGGTCAGAGAGTTTGAGGATGAGGTAAAGGAGTGATCTGAAGGACAGACTGGAATCTAAGCCAGATTAGGAGGGATGTGAGAATTTGAAGGGAGTGAGAGACAGTGAGGAAGTAGTTTCAATAGATTATAAATCCTAATAGAAGTAAAAAAATTGTTGAAGTCAGGATATTAAGGGTATAAGGTGAAAAGATAAGTGATTAGGGTGATTGAAATTGAAGTTATGAAGCAGTTGCAATATTGATAAAGACAAAATTTATGCTATGACCATGGGAGTTTGAGGATGAGGTGGAAGGTTTGGTGTAAGTCTTTGTCTATATGGATACTGATAATACTAAGAATTACAATAGGAATAGTGTTGTTAGAGAATGACAATGAGCCAGACTTGTGCTAAAAATTCTTAGGGAACATGGGAGATTTCTCTTTAGTGATTTGTAGGTGTTTTGATAGCAGTTTTTTGCCTTTTTTTTTTTTTTAATAGTTTGTAGCAATAGAATGGAAGTAATAGTGAAATGCAAGGGAGGCCCATCAATAGACCCCACAGGAATGTAGAAGAAAAATCAGCCACCCTTTAAGAGGGCTGAAGATGAAGCAGTGTTCTCAGAAGAAATGTTGGGAAAAAAAGCTGAGGATGGAGAGATTTTTCTGGTGCCTGACGGTGAATTTCAAGAGGCCTAGTGGAAGGGTCAGGGAGAGAGGGGTCAGATGAGGGACAGAACATGGCTTTGTGAGGATGGAGAATCCAGATGGTGAGAAATAACTTGGTAATCATTGGCTTCTTGTAGTTATTTTTTTTTTTAAAGATTTTATTTATTTATTTGACAGACAGATCACAAGTAGGCAGAGAGGCAGGCAGAGAGAGAGGAGGAAGCAGGCTCCCTGCTGAGCAGAGAGCCTGATGCGGGGCTCGATCCCAGGACCCTGGGATCATGACCTGAGCTGAAGGCAGAGGCTTTAACCCACTGAGCCACCCAGGTGCCCCATTGGCTTCTTGTAGTTATGTCACAAAGAGGATAAAGGCATGATAGAATTAATCCTTATAATGTTTTTTTTTACTCAGAAACTTACAGTGATTTTCTTACCGTCCAAACCAGAGCACCTTTGGGAATGAGGAGAAAAATTTCAAGAGTTAAAATTAGTTTTTAAAATTATTTATTG